TGCTGTTTCTGTTATGTGAAACTTACTGAGATTTCTTTGGGCTGTGATATGAGTGGGGTTTTTATGGGTTTCCAGGTGTTTAATGGGAAAGTGTCCTTGCTGTTTCTGATGCTGAGGTCTGGTGTTTTTGTCTGCCTTTCACTCGCTGTGACTTTTTCCTATTTGCTTATTGCTGACCCCTAACTTGCCGGGGCTGACAGTGACCAGTGCTCTGTGTTGTCACTGTGCCTCTGCTTCTTTCCAGGAACCTCAGCTCCTGCCTCTGTGTTGCCTACTTCTTGGACACACTTAAGCTCTCAGGCTTTGAGGCAGGGTGAGCATTCTGGAAGTAGCTGCCAGGTCTCGGTCAGTGCGGAGGCAAGGTTGGGTCCTGTCTGGGAGCCACACTGCAGCCACAAATTTTTCATCTTGTGCCTCTGCCTTCTGTGTTTTTTCCCACTCACTGATATTTAGCCTCTTTACCCAGCAGCTGTGTTTCTAGCATAAAGCAGAGCTGGTTCATGAGACATCTGAGACTTTTGATAGCTGGTAGACCCACCTGCATTTATTCTTGTGCTAGTATAACCGATGTGTTCATATTCAATTATCATATAACTAGTGTGTATGTTGTGTTTTATTTATTGTTTATCATTTTTTTAAAATGTGGCTTGTCATCTTCATTTCCCCCTCTTTGATTCTGGCATTTAGGAAGGCTTGTGTCTTGGTCGTCTTCATACATTTGTCCCTTAGCATTTGTAGATTGGTTCCAGGATCCCTCTTGGACACTGATATCTGCAGATGATCATATCCCATGTATAGAGTGACACTGTATTGCAATGTATTTATACATCCTCCTTAAACTTTAAATCACCTCTATGATGCTTATAATGTAAGTCATTGTTAAATTATATTGTTTAGGAAACAGTAAAGAAAAATCTATACATGCTCAGTACAGATACAATTTTTTTCTCTGAGTACTTTTAATCTGTGATTGGTTGAATCTACATTGAGAACTGATAGGTACAGAGGTCCAACTGTAATTTTATCTGTCATGGTGCCTGGTCCTTCTGGTCTTCCTTTTACCATTGTGTTTGGTCTGTCAGTTTCCAATGGTATTCTTGTCTCCAGCCCTCTTCCTGTGCCACAATCAGTGAGCTTACTTTACTTCATCCTTTTTCCATTCATCCATCTCTGATTGCTTTTTTAAAACAGTACCTTAAGAAAATTTCTCTCACACTCCCTCGTTCATCCCTGCCCTTATTACTTTTTTCGTCTTCAGTCATCAGACATGCATTATTGTTGGGCATGCCAGTTCCCCAGCTGTCCTTTGGCATGAGGGAGCATGTCTTTAGTGGGCTTCTCTTAGCTCTTGACTTTGGAAAGCTCTAATTTTGCAGCACTATCTGGCTGACAGAAAGCCCTGTGGCCAAACTTTGTTTTTATGGAGTTGATGAAGGGGTGGCCCCACTATAACCTGCTCCTGTCTATATCAGAGTCTGCCTACTGGCTTTTGCTGAGTGAGGTGGTCCTTCTTCCCAGAGCCCCAGAGACTCTTCGCCATCTCAGGAGTTCACTGGATGCACCCGAGGCCACGTCCTGGTCAGTTTGTTTGGTGTATGATGAGCCTCTTCAGCTCACAGAGTCATTTCCCCCTAAAAATCATGTCTGGGGGTTTATGTATTAGTTCTCCTTCATAGTTTCACTATTCTCTTTTGGGAATTCCAATATATACTTCTTGGATCAGTTTTGCATTATATTATACTCTGTATCTATCACTTTGTCGTTGATCATTTTTACCTTGCTTTGCCTCATTTTTTGATGTTTTTCAGTCTTCCCTTATACATTCAACTGCAGTTATTTGCCTTCCACCCCTTATAACAGTCTTTATTTCCAGGCTGATTTTGTCCTTTTTCATTTCTTTTCTAATTCATTCTTATTTCAGTTTTCCTGTTTTGTTCATCTTTGTTTGCTTTTTTGGTACTGGGGATTGAACTCAGGATCTTGCACTTGCAAGGCAGGCAGCAGAACCACTGAGCTAAATCCCCGGCCCACTGTTCAATCTTAATCATTCATTTGTGTTCTTGGATCATTTAGTTCTTCCCTTCTGGTGTCTCTCTGCACATGCCAATAATAGTTTCAGCTACTTCTGGAGTACTGTGTTGAATTCTCTGTTTTGTGATTAATGTTTTCAGCTGAGAAGATTTGCTTTTGATGTTTCCTCACAGAACCATAACATTACTTTGAGATGATTGTCTAATCCAAGGGATTTTCAGTGCCTTTTGCTATTTGTTTCAAAGTGCACAGGACTTCCTGAACTAGCAGTAACAAGAGTCTCTGAGTAGGGGGTGTTAAGGAATTTGGGGCTCACCAGATTTCTTTGTCCAGGAGCATCCTTCTCTGCTGGTCAGAAAAATGTAATTTTTAAAAAACAGTACTTTGAAGTTAAATCAGTGTGCCTTCTGATGCCTTAATGTATTGCCGAGGGAAACTCATCCACTCTGCCTGCACTCTCCTCTCTTTCCTACCATGGCTCCAACATTGCCTTCTTTTTCCATTCTCTTCACCTCTGCCCTCAGACTCCACTGCACTTTCCCTTGACTTCCCAGAGATCAGTGCTTTGCCCCAGGACAGCTTGCTCTCATCCTTGGCCTTGGAATCCTCACTGCTTTGGGTTGATGTTGTTTTGTCCTGCAGTTGCTGGAGGAATCCCTTGACTCTCTCTCCTTTGTGCTGCTAGTTTCCTGGTCAGCTGATCACATAGAGCTCTGGCTACTTAACTGTGGGGTCTTCAAGGGACAGAATTCTCAATTCTCCTGATTTTTGAAAGTCATTCTGGCTGCTAGAATTCTAAGCTAGATAATGAGGAGTCCTGCTATTCAACTTGTTTTCTCCACTTAACCCTTATTTAATTTTGGCATTTCACCATCTTCAGAACTCTTACTGTCTTTTGAGCAAGTAGCCTGAATGAGCTCCGGTGGGAATGGAAGAGTGATCAGCTGGTAACAAGAGGTGCCTGAGGCTAGCTGAGGAGGAAGGCTCCCTTATAAAATTTTTAATTGTCACTCTCACTGGTATTACTGCTTTTTGAGCCACACATGCAGCCAAGTGGCCTGTCCTGCCAGCTCTCTTCTCACTGGCTTCCCCTTCCCTCTCTTTCCTGCACTGTTTATTGCTTACTCCCCTCTCCCTGATCACAGTACTATGTCCACAACCGTAGTGTTCTTCCTTGTCCAGATGCTTGTCGTCTATAGAGGTGTACTTCTGATGGCTGATGTGTGCTGGTATGTGCCATTCTATTTCTCAGGGTCATTTAGTGTGGTTTCTATAAGGGTGGGGATGAACATTCTGCCACCTTCAATGGGAGTTCTGTTCTATTGCTTTCTGACTTTTTTCTTTTCTTTTTTTTTCCAGTACTGGGGATTTAACCCAGGCCTTCTCATGTGCTGTTCAAGTACTTTACCACTGAGCCACACTCCTCAGCCTTTTTTTGTTTTTTTGAAATATGGCCTCGCTAAGTTGCCCGGGCTAGCTTCAATCTTTTCATTCTTCCTGCCCCTGTCTCCCAAGTATCTGAGATTATAGTCATGTACTAGCACACCTGGCTCTTTTTTGTTTTGTTTGTTTTTTAACCTTTGAGTTAAAAAGTTTAGCTTTTTAAATTGAGATGCAGTTCATGCACCGTGAGGTTCAATGTTAAAATGTGCATTCCAGTGACTTCAGCATATCCCATGCTTCAACTTCAGGGCCCATCTCTGCAGCCATGTCTCTCTCCTATGCCCTATGCAGCCTCCCCAAGTGTGGGCCCTGAGAAAGAGGAGGGTCTTCAGTCAACCCCATCCTTCATGGAATCTCTTTATGTGACAGTTATGCTTAGCTGTCAGCTTGGCTGAATGAAGAGACTCCTGGAGAGGTGACTAGATCATGAGGTGATTCATCCACTGATGGTCACAGCTGAGTTTGCTGTTAGGAGTTGGAACCAGTTGGAGGTGGGGCACTGGGTGACCCTGTGGAGGGTACATCTCTTGCTGGTGCTCTGCTTCCCAGCCACTATGAAGTGAACAACTTTGCCCTTCTGTCATAATGTCTCTGCTCTGGAGCCAGCTGACCAGTGTCTCTGAGACACTGAGCTGAGTAAACCATTTCCCCCTTCAAGTTGTGGATGTTGGTTATTTAGTTCTAGCAGTGGGATAGCTGACCAGTTCACCTTGCACTGGCACTTTCTGGTCCATGTCACTTTGAACTACACATAGTGGTATAAGCAGGACATTGGCTGGAAATGGCCTGTGGCTAACTGGCTGGTTCAGAGGAGGGCAGAAGCACCTAGCACAGATACTGATTCCTATGGGGGCATGGATTCAGGAGTCCAAGTGTTGGAATTGTTGTCAGTGGGCCTTCTAGGATGCCCACAGCAATGATTGGTGAAGGTTATAAACATCCACAAGCAGAATAGATTATGTACACAGCAGGAGCACAGAGTGTTTGTTGCTAGGAGTCAGGTCTCCAGCCTGGGCACCAGACAGGAATTCAAAAGGCAGAATGTCAAAAACAGGCTGAGGTGAAAATTAAGCACTCTGGAAGAACACTAGATGGTGCAGAAGGTGGCTCCAGTGGGCAGATTGCAAGCTGGAGTTACAGGTTGAGTGAGATGATCTCCCTGCTGTAAAAGTAGAAAACCAGAGATGCACTTGAATGACTATAGTTTCATAAATGTAGGTTTAAAATCAGTCTGGAGATAAGTGTACTAACTGTTGTAGATAAACATTGTTCAGGCTCCCCAGGAAGTTTCCCCTCAGCTGTACACTGTGAAGTGGGTGCCTGCCTAGGGTGCCGTGGTCTCTTTAGGCCTCATTGGCAGCACTTCGCAGGTCAAATCTGCTGGCACTGGCTCCTCTCCACTCAGGCTTAGACATGAATGCTCCAGAGACATTTACTGCTCTGCTGATGCCAGAAGCGATATTGAGGCCCAGTCCCAAGGGCAACGTTGTGCACTGGACTTCATGTGCCCTGTGTTTCTGTTTCAGGTAGGTGGGTTCCACACAGGCTGGCCCCTCTGCAGATCCCCACCTCCTGTGACGATGCTCTGAGCCGCAGTGTATCCAGTGTTTGTGTCTATGGACCTGCTCTGAACTGTCCAGCTTGCCTATGGGGGAAGGTGAGTGGCCTCCTCTTCTGCTTGCTGGCTTATTTACCAGGGAACCAGGGACATCACAGCAGAGCTGAACTTTCCCTGAAAGCGTCCAGTCCCATCTCCTACCTGCTGTGGTCCAGAGGTCTGAGTTCTGGGGCAGAGGATCTTCCTTGTCCTATTGGCTGCAGGTTCGCTGTGAGTACACATGCTTGGGCCAGTCTCAGGTCTACAGCTGTCCCCTGGAGTCTCCTTCGGCACCAGGGCAGCAGGTGAGAAGCTGGTTTTCAGGAATGATGAGTAGAAGCCTATGCTGGCAGCTGAAGTCCCCAAGGGGCGTCTAGAAAGAGTAGGTCCTGGGAACTTGGGCTGGGTGACATCAGGAGTGGGTGCTTTTATGGCACTTAATGCCACTCTGAAGTAGCAGTACCGGTAGCTTAGGCAGTGCCACAAACTTGCCCTCAGAACTGTGAAGAGGCTGGCTGAGGAGCACAGGTGCAAGCACAGACACCTTGAAGAACTGTGCCCAGAAGGAGGGCCTTGGCATCTCAAGCCTTTAACAAGTGAGCACAGCTCTCACCACACATGGACTCTGTGTGTACTTGTGCATGTGTGTGCCTGGTACTGGGGGTTGAACCCAGCACCTTCACATTGAGCTACATCCTCAGCCCTTTTTATTCTTTGAGATAGGCTCTTGCTAAGTCATTATGTTGCCCAGGTGGGGCTTGAACTTGCAGTCCTCCTGCCTCAGCCTCCAGAGTGCTTGGATTTACATTACTTTTTAAGCATTCAGAGGAATGTACAACTCTAGAGTATGTTTGGCTTTAGTAATTTGGGTAAAACCATGTCTTCCCCACCCAGGAGGGAGCTGCACTAGAATTAGTAGCAAAGGAAGGCTCGTATAAATAACAAGCTATAACAAGTTATGAAATCCATATTACAAGCACAATCATAGGAGAGAGTAAGGAACCTTGGAGTTGAGTGATGATGAAACAGTACATCTAAATTAATGTGGCGCAGCTAAAACAGCACTGAGGACATCAGCGACAGTAAGTTCATGCGCTCAGTATGGAAAAAACTGAAAGTGCCAGGATAAACCAACCCAACAGGTTGAGAAAAAGAGCAAGAGAAGAAACCTGAGGATCTCGGGCAGGAATGACAAAGGAAACAGCAGAGATCAGCTAGTAGAGAACACAGGATCACAGAGGAACTCAACAGGACTAAAGCTGTTGGCTAGCTTGTTGTTTTAAAGAGTAGGTAGGCCTCTGATAGGATGGAAGAAGAGGTTCATACAGTGAAAATCAACGACACAAAAACAGGAAATAGCTATAGATAAACTGAGAAGAAGAATCAGAGTATTGTGGCAACAAGCAAGCAGATTTGAAAGATTAGAGGGCTTTGATGATTGCCTAGGAAACTATAAAGTACCAAAATAGACTGAAGAAGAACTAGAGAATTGTACTAGGCCAACAGATATTAAAGATATTTAAATGACAAAGACTTCTCATTCAAAAAAGTCTTCACACACTGAGTCATTGATTAATTGTACGTAACTTTAAGGAAGTGTATATATTCTGACTTTGCAGAGTGTCCCAGAAAATAGAGGGAAAGACCCCCAGCACTTTATAGAATATGAATATCTTCTGGGCTGCAATATGATATGACTTTTTAAAACAAAGAATGGGCACATTTTATTAGGACTATACCTAAAAATTCAATGTAGAATGTTAATGTGCTAAACTCACAGGTACACTTAAAACAAATCTAATTAGAACATTCTGATCTAGTAGTTTATCATATGATTTCAAGGTTAATTCAGCAAGAGGACATATGTAAGTATGAATCAATTCTTAAATAGATGAAGAGAGACACACACCGTGATTAACTCAAGACATAGAATGAAGTCTTATACCGTTAATAGCAATGAGGTCTTTCCCATATACAAGGAGATATCTCAAGAATAAGAGGGAAATATTTGAAGAGGAAAAAATAACACTGGTGTTCTTTGCAGAGAATGTGTAGAAAATCCAATTGGACCAAAACCTACTAGAACAAACAAAAAAGTTTAGTAGCTTTTCAAAATATGAGATCAGCAAGCATAAAGTAATTAGCCTTTTTCTATACCAGCAATAACCAAACAAAATATAATTTAAAAACACCAAACACGTATCTGTAATCCTAGCACTGGGGAGTCCAAAGCAGGAGGACTGCCACAAGTTCCAGACTAGTTTGAACTACATAGTAAGACCTTGTCTCAAACAAACAAACAAACAAACAAACAAATCACTCTGTTCATAATGGCTTTGGAATTCAGAAAGCATCCAGAAGTTAATCTAAGTGAGAATACACAGAACTGTGAGGCTAAAACCTGATGCTCTAATAAAGGGTCCAGGATAGCATAAAGTGGGAGAGAGCACATGAGCTAATGGTGGAAATGTGTTGGTTCTTAAGCCCAGTGTTATTTTGAGTCAAAATTCCAGGTGGATTTTGAAGAGCTCATTAAGCACTTAGAGGCCACGCAAAAGACTCTAGGTGATAAATATTCTAGATGAGGGTTGTCAGCATTGAAGGAGTGGAAAGTTCAAACCCTGACTCCCAGGAGTGCTGGACATTCCACCATCAGGGTTACAAAACTGTGCTATTGGCATCAAACTGGACAGGACCTACATGTGAAAGGTAAAAACGGTTGCACTAAAAGAAACAATTAGGATAATACCTTTATTATTTGGGGGGCAAAAATTTTATAAATAAAACTTTAAGAAACAATACATAGTAGGATAAAGATTTGGTAAATTAAATTATACCAAATTAGGTATATTCCATAGAAAAAGTTAATTAAAAATGAGAGAAAGGATAGGGTATATGGAAAGCCTGAAACCAATGAAGCATCACTATCTAGAGAATGCCAAAATCTGGAGAGACCTCCGTCAGTGGGGCAGAGCAAAGCCCCACAGACATCTGCACCCTAATCCCTGGAGCTGTGGCCACATGTCCTTGTGTGGCAGGACTAACATTGCAGATGGCTTATGGCTGCCAAGCTGCTTGAGCTCAGTGAAAGGGGCCAACCTGTAGGCTCTCTGAACTGCATGAGACCTGTACCATGGTAGAGGGGAAGAAGGCTGGAGTCATCTCTAAAGCTGTTGAACTGATGGCTTTGAAAGTGAAGGGAGGGGTTAGGAGAAGGATTGTAGCAGCCTCTAAGTGCTGGGAAAGGGTCTACAGGGGCCTTCAGGAGGATCCACCCAGCAAGACTTTTCTGACATCTGACCTCCAGAACTGTGAAATGACCCATTTGTGTTGGTTTGTAAAATCAGCAATAGGAAACTAATACACATTTAACTAAGAGAAAAATGGGCAAAGGGTTTGAAGGACATTTTAGCGAAGAAGAAATGCAAAATGCTGATGTTGAAATGTTCAAACTCGCCCATAACCAGAGAAATGAAAAGTGGGCAGTGCTACACCACAGTGTGCTGAAGAGACTGGCAAAACTATAGCACCATGTGATGCCAATTGTGATGCTAGCAAGTCGACACAGCCGCACCCTGGAACGTGCTTCCAGAGGCTGGAACCACAGAATCAACACTGCATGGACCAGCATAGCATTTGACCTACATCTCTGCAGTGATGAAATTCCCAGAGAAAAGCACACACAGAGGGAGAGAGAGACACCCCACATGCCTTGTTGGGCTATGTGGATATAAGCATGGAATAGATCTCAGTGTCCCTTCCTGGAAGAGAAAAGACATAACACATTGTGGAAGCACACTGTGGAGCAGCTGGACATCCCTAGCCACTTGCCCATGGGGAACAGGCAGGGATCTTAATAGAGCAGGCAAAGTTCAACCTCCAGGAAAGATTAGTGATGTCAGCCATTCTGGGCACAGAAAACCCAGCATTCATATCCTCAAGGGTATGGCACTGACATGTGTTTGGCCCTGGCAGGGCCTTGCAGATGACGGCATCACAGTGGCAGAAGTGTGTGTGACAGGAAGCGTCACCTGGTGAGACAAGAAGCAAGAAAGTGAGACCCTCCCATACCCCACGGAGAGCACACCCCCAGTGACCTACAGACCTCCCGCTAGGCTCCTCCTCTCAAAAGCCCATCACCTCTTAACACTGCCACATACTGAGGTCCAGAACCTGGAGGCACAGACCACATCCAAGCCATAATAATGACGTTGTTCACCCTTTCGTGTGCTTGTTGGCCATTTGTATGTATACTTTGAAAATCATCTACTCAAGTCCTTTGCCCATTTTTAATTGAGTTGTTTGGGTTTTGTTATGTTGTAAGAGTTTTTTGTCTTACCTGGATTTGCCCCTTGTCCGTAGATGATTTGCAGATATTCTCCTCATTCCATAGGTTGCCTTTTCACTCTGTTAATCCTGTTGATTCCCAAAAATATCAAGCTTTGATGCAGTCTAAGTTAGCTGTTTTTTCCTTGTTTGTGTTTTTGATGTCATATCTAAGAAGCAACTTCCAGAACCAATGTCATATAGCTTTTGTCCTCTGCTTTCTTCTGAGAGTTTTGTAGTCTCCGCTGTTGTGTTTGATCAGTTTGAATTTATTTCTATGTGTGGTAGTAGATAAACTGTGACTTTCTCCACAGAATGTATTTGTCATCCTTGGCAAACATTATTTGATGATATGTGTGAGGATTGGTTTCTGGGACTTCTTATTTTATTCTATTCATCTGTCGCCTTTATTTATTTATTTATTTATTTATTTTTGATACGGGGGATTGAACACGGGACCTTGAACTTGTGAGGCAGGTGACAGTACCACTGTGCTAAATCCCTGGCCCTATTGTCTGTCTTTATGCTAGTACCACGCTGTTTCCATGACCTTCACTTTATAAAAAGTTTTGAAGTCAACAAGTGTGAGTCCATCAGTTTTGCTCTTTTCAAGATTGTTTTGGTGTTTGGAGTCCCTTGAAACTCCATATGAATTTCAGAAATGCGAGGAATATTTTGGGGATTTTGATAGGGATTGCTTTAAATCTGTGGATTACACAGATGTCTTAATATGA